GGCTTACGTGTGCTCACTCACTCAGTTGACAATAATGGCTGATTGCAGGCAGAGTCATGTACCAGCTAAGATGAGGTTTGTGGCACATGTGGCAAAACCACAAACAAAAATAAATCATAGCACAGAATATGATGACTTGATGATGAGGATGAGAGGCACAGGTGATGCTAGGGAGAGACAGAGTCCTTTGGTGCTACAGGCACCATCTTGGTACAGAGGGAGAAAATGTGGGGATGTGTACCACTGCTGCCGATTTTTGAAAAGTGACTTATGTCTAGGCTTAGTTTTTGTTTTGATGTTTAAACAAGTTGAATTCCCCGCACCCTTAAAACTATGGAATCACATTTGTTCAAATTTACATTAATAAATATGGTAATGAAATAAATACATGCTTGAATGAGTAATTAACTTTAGATGTTTATCCTGAGATTACCTCACATGAATTCAATTGACCTAGATTTGGTCAAGGTTGTAGAGCAGCGGTCCCCAACCCCCGGGCCGCAAGAGTTGAGGCTCAGGTGTGAAATGTATAGTTTTCAGGGTTTTTAATCGGTTTTCAGCGTTATTTCGTTATCGTTTACTCGGTTTTCCTTGGTCTTTTCACATGTGTTATGAATAAAAAAAAATTTCGGTACCGGTACTAGTTTTATTTTGTTGTATTTATCCGCGACACCTTAAAGGCCGGTCCGTGAAAATATTGTCGGGCATAAACCGGTCCATGGCGCAAAAAAGGTTGGGGACCGCTGTTGTAGAGTACATCATTGAAAGTGGATTATATAGTTAGGTATCATCAAAATATATTATCAATATGCAAAAAACAGCTATTGTAGGCTTTGAAAAAATAAAAACGCATCCAATAAAAACACAGCTCAAAAATATTTCATATAGAAGACAAATAGATAATAACATTAGTCTAAAAAATTTTTCTCAGCTGTATTATTATTTTCAATCATTCGTTTCAAATGATTGTTAATTGAATATTCGAAAATGTAGGTACTGACTTTACAGGTTTTTTTTTTATTTCTTATATGATAATCGTTCATAATTAAACAACAAGAACAGATAGTCTGTGGGGGTGGGGGGTTACAAATACAAAGTACAGAACCATGGACTTACCTTGCAAATAAACTTGCTAGTGGTCCCAATTTTCTCTGCCTCCCATCCTCTTCTTTCTGCATGACTTCTGCCGCCCATAAGTCTCTGGAGGTTCCCGCTGAAGACGACAACACCACTTCTGAAAAGTGGTTGGTGCTGCTGTCGGCTGTCTCCAAAGTGACAATCGCACTGGAGTCGGACGTAACTGTGAAATCCAGGATGTCTTCATTGGAGACCGACAGTTCTGTGCTCATGCTTGACACGCTGCACACAGAGATGTCATCACTACGGTTTAATGCTCCGCCCCCAACACCAGCTCCCATGGTGGAGGATAATCTGAGCGTGGGGCTAAAGAGGCGGATGTTGTCATAGCCACTGCGGGGAAAGGTGGAGGATTTTCGTACAGTGGTGCCATCAGAGGGATCATTGTCCAGAGGTAATGTGGCGGGGGTGTCGTGACTCGATTCCAGCATAAGGCCTCCGTCGCTTTGCCGTTGGTGACTGTGAAGGAAGGGCTCCGGAGGATTGATCTCCAGAGTGGGGATACCCGAGTCCTGGGAAGTCAGGCTGTGGTTGTCTGGCTCCAGGTCTGGGTAACTTTTCTGTGGGCTGCTATAACAGACAGTAGCGGGCGAGCAGGATGGCTTGTAGATGGGCAGGACGGCGTTGCTGTGTGTGGCCACTCTGGCCTCATGGCAGTGATTGCTGATGTGATCATTTAGGTGAGAGGCCGTCGTGTCTTTGACCACAGAGCCATTCTCCACTATGGTTCCTCCAGGCATAACTGTAAGAAACAGAACTTTCAGTTTAATACACTTTATACAACATAAATATATTTATTCACCTCCTGATAACTAGTTTGTGCCCATTTGCTGTAGTCTTTCATGAAAAGTTTGTTTAAAAAAAAAAGAAGAAGTGACAATTCCATTGTTACATTGTTGAAATAAAGAAGCACAGAGAGAGCAAACTTCTGGCAAGGCAGCTCATTCTCTGGTCTCTTTCTTTGTTTTTCAACAGACTAAGGTTAAAAATAATTAGTTCTGTTAAAATTAACGCGTTAACGCAAAGTAATCCGCCATCACGGTCAACACGATTAAATTTAACGCAATTAATGCATCTGGAGTGCAGATTGCGTTAAAGTTCCCGAAATGTTTCTGTCAACGCATTTTGGGCAGTTTGTCCAAGTAGAGTTACCTTCACACATGTGCAAATGTGCAGTTGATCTGGTAGTGACGGGCAGCTGAACCAAACAACTCAATATGGAAGATGATAAACGCACGTTTGAGTACGTTTGAATATTAAAAGAAAAAGCTTGCAACAAATCACTCAGAGCATCGGGGACTCTACCTCCCAAATACTGACTGGCACAATTGCCAAGTGGATTGCAACAAACTGCAGACCTATTAATATCTTTGGGAACATGCGCTTTACATAGCTTTGGTTCCTCGTTTCAAGGACTTGAAGCCTCCCCAAAAGTGACAGAGAGAGAGCAGATAAATGTTTAAGTTTTTTGTTAACATGAATGTTCAAGATGTTCAATAAACATGTTAAGTACGCATATTTTCCCTTTTTTCTTGAATCTGTTTGCTCGTGCAAAATTAAATGCGATTAATATAGAAGAAAAATAAATGGTATTTAATTGTGATTAATCAAAATTAATCCAGAGTAACCCTGTGATGAATCTGATTAAACATTACCTATTAATTTTCAATTCAGTTAATTTTTATTTATATAGCACCAAATAACCTCTAGGTACTTGCACAGTAGATTGTACAATAACAAATACAGAAAAAAAACAAACAAACAATCATATGACCCCCTATGAGCAAGCACTTTGGCGACAGTGGGAAGGAAAACTCCCTTTTAACAGGAAGAAACTTCCAGCAGAACCAGGCTCAAGGGGTGAGAGAAGGAAAACAGGATAAAGACATGCCTATTAGTATGTAGGTTTTTTTAAAAAGTTTTATTTCACTGGTGAGAACCAGTTTAAGCATACATTCTTTGTGTTTATTCTCAATTTACTTCATTACATTGCATAAATGTCAGTTACAAGCTTAAATATAAAGTTGAAAAAATGTAATTGCAACCAGGCTATTGATCAAGTAATTGCAATTAATCACGAATAATTACAGAAAATTGTGCAATTAATTAGTTATTTTTTTTACTCTATTGACAGCACTAAAAATAATGGAATATGGAATATTATATATATATTTCTATCAAACTGATAGAAAAGCAGTGCATTATAAAAGTAAGATCAGAGGTGAAATGTGAATTTGGATGCAAACTATAATGTGACATTTAGCATCCCCATATACCAGTTTCAAATGTTGCCAATATAAACAGAAGGCAGTAAAATTTTAAACAGTTAAAGATAAGACAATTTATGAAAGTTTGACCTTATTTGACCTTGAAGAGGTCAGAGATCCAAATGTGATTGCAAAGGTGGGAAGCGGCCTTTCTCCAAACAGCTTGTGTGGAACATGGCTTTAACTTTCTGCAGTTAAATCACCGCCCTGCAGCATCTACATACCTATTTGTCGAGGAATTTCTTAATTTCTCTTTCAGCTTGTTGAGGTTCTGGTTGCGCTCTGAATACAAGTTCCAGCACATTTTTCCTTAATGTGAATTTCTCTATATGCAGACACCAACAGATTTTTGGTTTCCAAAGATTTATCACAGCTAATCACCATCTTATGAAACGCATTGCACACAAACACCAACTTAACCCCATTCAATGGCAAACTGATAGGAAACTCATCGCTCATCATCATATTTTCATTTTATTGGCGCCATGATGCAATAAAATCCATTTAATAACAGCAACTGACTGCACTGTCTTCAAAGCAACTAGGAAAATAAATCTCAAGTTCACTGCACACAGTTGGAATACCTTTGGTTATGTCGTGGTCCCACACCAAAGTTTTCCTTAGTATGACTGCACCATAACTGAAATGTTTTAATTTGCATTTTGTTTAAAGAGGCTATATAGGGGTCATTTGACAGCTCAGTGTTGTTATTCGTGGACTTTAGTCAAAAAGATCCCACTTCTCTCCTTCACAAACAGAAAGTTTGAACAGTCTGTGAGTGAAGCTTCTGTGCTTACAGAACCTTCAGCTCAAATAACCACATCTATGATATCTCCTCTCAATGACATCATCAAGGCCCAAGAGTAAGAAGAAAAAGAACAACCTAGAAGTGTCTAGATCAGTCTGAGCTTTTGGCCCACAGGACTTACTTGTACACGCGTATACTTGTACTTTGTCTATGTTTAATACGGGCATCCAACCTTTGAATAAACACCTGCTCAATCAAATAACCGCAGCTTTATTAGAATTAATGGGCAAGGCAGAAAAGCTGCAGAAAAGTTATTTTTGACTGTACATCCCATTGATATTGGTAGCTTTAATACAATAGGATTAAAGGTTTCCTCTAATTAACATTGGATACACGAGCATGCGAGCCTAACTAGGTGAAAACTAATCCTGAAGTAACCCGACTGTAACTGGAGTCTGCAGTGTAATGTGAACATGTTTTCTGCTGGGCTACATCATGCTCCAACCCCAGCTTAGAAGCTAGTGTGTCTAAGCTCTAAGCTGCATTAGCAGTGACAGGAGAGAATTTCAGGAATCCTTTCATTAAACCAATTCTGATGCGGGGGGGGTTATCTCCTGCACTCTGGCAGGACAACTCTCATAAACTTCAGGGCACACATGGTGGGTTTAGTGTTCCTACTACATAACTCATAGTGCCCCGACTTCCTAAATTTAATCACACAGAAATAAACGCCAGGCATGTTAAAGACAGTTAACAGGTTACGATTAAACCAACTACGCCCTAATCAGTAAAAATAAATACCCTTTCAAAGTCAAAACTCTAAAAGAGTTGAGTGCTCTCCAAAGCACTGACACACAAAGCCAGATTTTTACCCAAGCTCTAAACCCTGACCTGCAGGTAGTCATGTGAGCCAGGCAGACTTTGTCCCAAAACACAGCAACAGGTTGTGCCACTGTGGAAATCAAACTACAAGTAGAGGAGAGGTCACCAACAAATGTCAAAATTAATAATGATGACTTTACGGTCATTATTATTAATACTGCTATGTATTCTGAAAATATTAAAAAGGTCTTAACAGCTAAGCACTGAAATGTAAAAGCTGTGAAGCATGCGGCCACACCAGAGAGTTTTTTTTTTTGTTCTTTTAAAAGTAATGAAGCAGAAACAACAAGATTGCCTTCATTGTCTGCCCAACTTAGCCGCCCATTTGAATACACACACACACACACAAATCTGGTTCTTCAAGTCATGATATGATGACTCTATGGACACCATAAGGAAATGCAATATTACGCCACTATATCCCTGACTAACAGCAGAAATTGTGAAAAGTGGGCCAACACTTTCGCAAGCAATGGAGCCAGTTTTCAGTTTACCTGTATTTGTTTAAAAGCACATCACGTGTTATGGCATAACCCAATTCCAAATATCTGTGTCAGGTGTATGGAGCATTCCAGTTTTCGGGAGTGGTTACAAATATTTATTCCATGCTAATATCACTTTCTACAAAATTGAATGAAAGTTCAAGTTTTATTTAATATTTATTCTGAAATGATGTGCAGAACTGAAGACTAGCCATAGCAATTTGCAAACTCATTCAGTGACGCTTGATATTTGAGATATGTGACGAAATAAAAAGTGCAAGTGCTGTTTAATGTATAATTAATCTATGCCGAATTCATGCCCGTCTCTATAAAACACGAATTATTCAACGGGTCATAGTTAAACATCTGTGTAAATTCGCGATATTACATAGTTTCGATTTTTAAAAGTTTTTCTAATGTAGTTTGGTGTGACATACGTCACCAGGGAGGGCAGCACACTGTGTCAGGGTCACGGTGAACATGTCATGTTGTCTAACCGCGATAAACACACAGAACTGAGACCGTGCTCGACAGTAACGTACCACAGTGGTTCTCCCTGAGGTCCTGTGTGTCGTGGGCTGTGTTGGCCATGCTGCCGGTTAAAGCTACAGGTGGGTGACAGGTAGGCGCTGGCCGGAGTGGTCCATGATGATGCTGTGACTAGTGCTGCACCACCATCAACTCCCAGCCTCCTCAGCGGAGCTTCGCCCAAACGAACAGCACTGAAGTCAGCTCATTTGTTGTCGAATAAATTCCCCGGAATTCAGTCGGAATGCGGCCAGTGAACACACAAACGCCGCGTTGAACCGCACTTGCTCGCCAAGTGCACTTGCCGCTGACGCCAACTCACTAATTTCACGAGCGCTTCCTCAAATGGAACCAACACTTTTTAAAATGAGAGAGACATGTTGGTTTAGCCTTCCCGGCATCACAGCAGGACAGGAAGTGCTTCTCCGCTCTTTTGTGAATCATAGAAGCAAGCGCATTTCTCAAGTTTCTCCGGAATCGTTAAGATTTCATACCTGTGTCGATGCTTCTGCCGCCATTTTAAAACAAACTTGTACGGAGAGTGCGGTCTAATCGAGTAAAGAGTGCTCCCTGTCGATGGTTCACCTGTCTGGACCTGAAGGCATTATTAATCGACTTCGCAACCTGAGGGCTTATTATTTATATCACTGACCGTATCTTCCTTCTACAATATAGACTATATAGAATATAGGAGTAGTTCTCCCAAAATAAACAATTACATAACGTTTTTAAAGTCGGGTTAATGTTACAAACACATTTTATTAAATGTATGTTCATATTAAAATCATATCGAGCCAATATCAACAGAAGTATATTCAATAGCATCGTAAACTGAAATTTCACAAATTGCTATATTAACTGAGCACCTGCTTATCAAATTGTGAAAACTGTCATTAGAAGTGCTATAGGCCTGAAACTTTTAAGAAGATATACTCTGTATAAATAAAGTGGAATTCTACAGAAGCAGCTCTGGGAAAATGTATAATTGTTATGACACAAAATAATGTACAGAGTTATCTCCTATATGTCTACACCATTTTGGGTGGCATTCCTTTACAGGCCATATAAATAAAAAGTTGATGGTGGTATTTTTAATTGTACAAATCCTCTAGTGACAACGAAACTTTGTTTTAAATAAATATTTTACTAGCAAAATAATATTTTCTTAAGAAAATATATTTTTCTGCTGATAGAAAACCCAGCTTTTGGTTACACCATGACATTTTCATATCCCAACTCTTCTGTAGCATCCGCACAACTTGACAAAAGACCTGTAAAACATGGTTGTGAATTCTGGATTGAATTGTAACATATCATCAACTACTTAAGTGTATATTTTCTTATAAACATTCATTCTCAAGCTATTCCCAATTCCCGTTACATATTTATAGGTCTAAATAAGGGATAGCTAGAATTAATATGACGTAATATGACACTGTTGAATATCTGGAAGTCCTACTCCTCTTTTTGTTTATAAGTTTACAACAGATTTTCTAATTACTAATAAAAGTCTTGTGCAAAGCAGCAATTATTCATCCAAACTCAAAAAATATCAAGGTTAAAATATTAAGTGTGTCCATACAGGTGGATTGCAGTTTTATTAAGTGCAATTTCTAAAATTAATCTAAAGTGTTAGGTGGCTGGCCTTTCACTTAGAGATAAGGTGAGGAGTTCAGCCATCCGGGAGGAGCTACCCATCCACCACATGAAGTGGTTCGGGCATCTAATATGCCCTGGTGTTCCCACAGACAAGCTGGAGGAGGTGGCCGGGAGAGGGAGGTCTGGGCTTTTCTGGTTAGGCTGCTGCCCCCGTGAACCGGCCCTGGATGTGCGGAAGAAGATGGATAGATGGATGAAGTGTGCATTATATCAACTTAAAATAAATGAAATAAATACATACTTTTTACTATGTACAGCATGTTTTCTGTACATAGTAAATTGATAGCAAATGCATAATCATAATAAAGTAATATAGTGAACTTTAATTATTACTGCTACTATTATTAATGAAAGCCTTTATTTTGATTGTAGACATCAATATTATAAAAAGCTACACTTAAATGCTATGCTCAGAAATATCAACCTGTTTTCTGCATTGTTGTGGTGTAACCCCTCCCACCATGTCGCTAGCCTCCACCATTTTAACGAGAAGGCACAGATCAAGTCTGACAGAAGCAACAATCACACATGGGATCATCATTTATCTCGTTTGGTCATCTTATTAACACACATTGGGTTTGTTTGACAACCACAAACATCACATTCATTTTATTCTGTTACATTAGAAATATAAAATCTTAATGTGTATGTGTGGATAATCTCATAACATAACGTTAAATATTTAGTCACAATTCTTCAGTGCAATGGATAAATTATTTAAGGCTGTTGCTGTTATATTAGCCTTTCAAAAACCAGCCAATAATGTGTTGGAAAACCACCTTTGGTACACAAAAGTATACAGGATCTTAAAAACATTGTCCGCAAGAATAAAAGCTGCAGTTTGACATGTGCTATAAATACTTAAGCAGCTGGCAGTGCCTCAGCTGCTCTCTAGTGTCACCGTGAGGCTGACGAGCTAAAATATAACGCTGCTCCTATTTCCTTTCAACACTCTAGATCAGGGGTGGGCAACTCCAGGCCGCGAGGGCCGATGTCCCTGCAGGTTTTAGATGTGTCCTTGATCCAACACAGCTGATTTAAATGGCTAAATTAGCTCCTCAACATGTCCTGAAGTTCTCCAGAGGCCTGGTAATGAACGAATCGTTTGATTCAGGTGTGTTGACCCAAGGTGAGATTCAAAACCTGCAGGACACCGGCCCTCGAGGCCTGGAATTGCCCACCCCTGCTCTAGATAATGCAAAGACACAAGAACCTACAGACTGCATTTTGGTTTAATCCTTTATTATGTGTTAAGAAAATCCACAATGAAACAAAAATAATTTACTCAGGGTGAACATGAAATAAGAACACAGCTACGCAGGATACATAGGGTTCAGGAACATAGAGAAGAGGGAGGGCAAAGGAGCATCATCTACTTGGGAATGAACAGACGAGGAAAACTTGGGTTTTCTGTGCTGGATATGCTCTTCAGAACACAGCGCAGTTGAAAGTTTGCTTGTAAGAAGTCTCTCCGAACACATAAACCCTCTCTGAATGCGTTTACTCGTCACGTTTTGTTTCAAACACAGCCTATCAAAATGGAAGAGTTAAATACAGAACTCCCAAGTAAGTGTTTTTTGTGATTTCTTGCACACATTCACTGACAGTTTCACACACACAGTCATAGCATTCTTTCAATCACTTTAACCTCACTCGTAAGTTTATTTTTTTTACCCATAATAATCCAACTAAAAAAGATGGAGTGTGATGTTTGCATGCTGTATTTTTAGAGACATTCCATAAGTTTGTTTTTTTCTGTCTCATGTGTTCATCACTCAAAAGCGATCCACATGCAAAAGTAACTAAAGGACATTTCTCCATATTCTCTTCAATGTTTCCATGCGCCAAGGTATTGCATAGGACTTGGGGCTCGTGGGACTCCCTTCCACATTGCTTATGCAATTTACAATGGCTTAGTTCTTTTTTTCCCCCTTCCTAAAACTACAGCTCTAAATTAATGACAGTCACCTCTGCTGTTCGGAAAGAACTCCTGTCAATAATTTGTTCAACATTTGAAGAAAATGTTTTACATTGATGCATCAATGCACTGCCACAGGTCTGAGTGTAGACTATGCAGTATGCTTATATTAAAAAATTCCTGAGTGTCTCAAAGAAAGGTGACAAGACCCTGAAGTTAAGTACCTTCCATTCAGCTACTTGGGGGGCCCTTTTTTAAAAATCAAGCGGCATTGGACTAAAACTTTGGACCTTCAAATCTTAATTTTCTACAGAGCCATGTCAAAGCCATGCCCAAAATAAAAACACCTTTACCTGCGACAGTGCATTACTGTGTACACTGCTGACATGTACCCATGACAGAGGGATGATTTTGGTAATCTGTGCTTCAGTTTGGGGTATGGTATGACAAAAAAAAAAAAAATTAAATATGAAAATAAAAAGAATATATACACACACTGCTACTATCCTCAAATGAGAAGACAATAAAAGATCAGACAGAAAAACACCTTTTAGGAAACATGCTTATCTGCAAATATTTTGGGGTTTCAAAAGCAAAGGTCACACAGGGAGGCACGTGTGCCACGACAAATTGGTAGCCAATTGGGTCAGGGTTTTAGTTCAAGCTAGGCCAAATTAATGAAGGTGAAGCTCATACACATATTGAAAAAAAAACAAAAAAAAAAAAACACTCACTCTGAACCAGTAGTTTCACAAGTTCTATGCCAACACACACACACAGTGACATTACTTAATATTTCATTTTAACATGATATAGTGAACACCAAAAGATAAAAAATAAAATAAAAACAAAACCCATATGGAGAACAAAAAGCATTTGTACCTTAGTGTAGTTACGCCTTTTTTTAGATTGAACATTTGCCCCACCACTTACACTGCTATCAATCTGTTTAGCTGCAGCAGGGAGAACCAGTTTTGGCCTTTCCGAGGATGGATAGAAAATGAAAACATGCTACCTGCAAGTATTTCTCCTACTGCTGTTACAGAAGAGTAAGACAACAGGTAGGTTTCATCAAAATAAAAATCCAGCCAAATTAACCAGCAAGGGCAAGTTTTCTATTAATTTTCTCATAGGTTATCTGAGGGACAACAAATAAAATTTGTGTCATCTTTAAATCAAGAGTCATATAATAAAACTGCAACTTCCAAATATTTTGAACGTATTTATAGCACCAATAGTCTGTACCATTAAAATTACAAAAGAAACAAAGA